TTCTTTATTCACTAGGGTTTGGCTCGTTTTAGCTCGAAAAAAAAAAAAATCATATAAGTATTTATAATATATATATATATATATATATAATAAAATATTAATAATAAGAACCTATTTGACATCACTTCTCTTTTCAATTTTAGTTGATATAATTTTTTTATATTTTATTTTAAAACTAAATTTATTTGTATTTAAAAATAATCTAAAGATATAAAAGTTGTTGTGAGAATTTTTTAAATCAATCAAACATGATTTAATTTAAATCAAAAAATAAAAAACATAAAAGTTAAAAACTAAAAAATAAAAATAAAAATGATCCAAAATGACCCTTAAGATGTTCATAGATAATTATTTAATTTATGACATACAAAAAATAAGTATATATTATTTTTTATTATATCAAGATTTAAGTCATCTTAATCAATAATCATTTATTAGAAGAAATAAAAAAATTACTGACTTCTTTATCATCGAATTCTTATGTATTTACATATGCAACACTTAAATTTTGACTTCTACATTAGTCTACCCAAATCTTTCATATCACATTTAATGTCTCACTATTTTCAGTTTTAAAAAATGAATGCACCTTTTCCTATATGTAAGGTGGCATGTAAGTAAAAATTAAAATTTATGTGTTAGATATGTAAATACATAAAAATTGAGTGGCATGTATGTAAATCTTTCATAAACTTTATATATATATATATATATATATATATAACTTTTGGTTTTTTGGGCTCTCTTGTATTTTTTTATTTTTTTATTTTTCGAACAATTTGCATATGGTGTTTATCGTGTGGGTATGGTGTCATGCTTGGGCCCTCTCATACAATCTATCTGTATATTTCTTTTTTTTTAATATATTAGCCCTTCGGCTATTATATATATATATAGTAAAAAAATTGTCTTAAAATATTTTTAATTCATTAATTAAGCCACGTGTTCAACACGCCTTCCCACGCTTGTTCTCTCTTTTTAAATATTATTTAGATTGAACATTTATATGTAGTGTTTGACACATGTCGGTCTGCACGACTCCTTAATTAGAAGTATCCATGCATCATAGGATTTAGAATTAGGTTTTGCTCGCCTTTCTTATTTCATGTGGTTTTTTGTCCAAGTATGTTTATAGCTTGAGTGGATCATTTAACTTCCATGATTATTTACATTATTAGACCTAATATTTAATGCTTCTTATTAAGAGTTAAAGTTTCATTCTAAATTTTATTTATTTTTTAATTATAATTTATGCTAGTCAACTTATAGGTTTTATTTTTTACCTTGCATTAGAAAATGCATCTGCTATTATCACTCCATTAAAAAGAGTTAACAATGCACCACATAGATGAACTTAGTATAAAGAGATTTGAAGGAGAAGAGGTGAACTTAAGGTTAAATATTGTTCAAAATGATTTTCAAGAATAGATTCAACATCTAGATACCACTCAACAAGAATAAAAAGGAATTCATAAAATCAAACCTAGATAGTTAGGAGAAGGATAATGATGTTTAATATGTAATGCTAATAAGACATTGATACCATCTTGCTTAGTGTTTTCTAGAAAAAAAAAAAGATTATGGATGAAGAGGGAGAAGCTTTAGTGCATGAATTAGTTAATTAGTTTGTCTTATTAAAGACATTCAAGATTAAGGACATT